TGTTGTATGTAGCTGTGGTTCATTCTTTTTCACTGCTGTGTAGTTTTCCAGAGTATGAGTGGGCCACAGTTTACTTATCCTTTCTCCTGTGGTTGGATATTTGAATTATTTCCAGTTTTGGGCATTTATGACCATTCTTGTATATATCTTTTGGGCAGACACAGGCTCTCATTTATGTATACACTCAGGAAACAGATTTTTATGTTGAAATCTTGCAACCATTCTTTGAAGTAAATAAGACATTCTTTGAAGTATAATAATGGGATCTATCCAATGTGCCTTTAACGTAAGCAGATTCAACCACGTGAGCTGGACAAAACGAGAGAGAAAAATAAGCAAACAGTGTGTGTGGTTCTTAAAACCACTTCGTGTGATGAGCGCCCCGGGCCTCTGGCCCCCTCAGACCCTGCAGTAATTGAGGAGTGGGCTCCAGCCCCTCGGGCCTCCCTGCCCAGCCTCAGGCCATCTCTTTCTGCACACTTTCTGGTGCATTTGAAGGGTCCATGGGGTTGGGCTTTACTCTTTCAGGTCTTGACTCACATGTCACCTTCTCAGAGTGGCTGTCCCTGCAGCCACTGGTATTTAAATTTTCAGACTTCTCCTCCTGCCCTGTCTGGGGACTCCCTGTTTTACTTTTGTCATTAGTTCTTCCTCCCACCTTGAAAAGTCTACTTTACTTGTTTGTTGTCTGTCCTCTTCCACTAGAATGTCACTTCCATGGTGGCAGGGACTTGTTTGTTCCCTGCTGTATCCTCAGGGCCTCTAACAGTGCCTGGCAGAAGGTCCTCTGCTGAATGGATAGAAACTCCTCACTGTGTTCAGTTTACTGTTTGATTTTTGAACGGTGTGAGTGCCTTGCTTCTTCAGAAGTTAAATTAAAGATTCATTTGTTAAAAAGAAAAAAGAATTTATGCAGCTCAAAAGGAGCTAGAAAGTGAAAGTCTCCACTTGTTCTCCCCAGAGGCCCCTGTACTTACCAGTTTACATCATCATCCAGACAGCCTCTGCTTCTACCAGCATAGATTAGAGTGACCTTTTCTGTGTGTTATTTCACAAAAATAGGCCCATACTGGAACCGTGTTTGGCACTTTCTCTCTCTTCCCCCACTTGATGTATATTGAAGATCATTATAGGATTCCATATTCATATATACAGATGTACACATTTTTTTTTACAAGCTGCACAGTATTCTAATATGTGGAATTTATTTCTTTAACTTAACCAGTCCTTACTGATGGACATTTGGCTTGTTTCCAATCCTTCGCTTATTGCAAATAAGGCTGCAGTGTATAGCCAACCAATAGTTCTCAACCTCAGCCCTCTTGACACTTTGGGCCTGATAATTCTTTGTGTGGGAGCTGTCTTGTGCACTGTAGGAAGCTTAGCAGCACCCCTGGCCTCTGTCTATGAAATACCAGTAGAATTTCCCTTTTCTACCCCCAATTTGTAATAAACAAAAATGTCCCTAGACATTGCCAAATGTCCCCTGGGGGCAAAATTGCCCCCAGTTGGAAACAACAGGTTGAAAGGTTAAATTCTAAAATGTAGAATTGCTGGATCAAATCATATGTGCATTTTTAACTTTTATTTTTATTTTTTTTATTTTTTATTTTTTCCTTTTTGTCTTTTTTTGTGTCCGGCAACGGATCGCAACCCTCAGTGT